GATAATGTCCACCGCAGTTGTGGACGAAACGTCAGGAAGAAATTCCCATGGACCACGGCTTCAAAGCCCGGAAAACATTTCTAAATGTGATTTGAACCTTAAAAGTTGGAAAAATAAGAAACATCGCCTGTTATTAAGGTTGCATCTCGTAGGTGGTTGACACTGCATCTGAAGATGCAAGGCGCTCATGCTTGCGAAACGTCGCAATTATTTTCCTCGGCCACCAAAAGCCCGAAAACCCATCCAGGAATGATCGTGTTCCAGCGTCAAAAACAGTGTAAACCAAAAGTTTTCGTGCGTCAAAACAGAGTACGCATTTTGAACAGCAGCCAGTAGAAGTGAGAATAGAAAGTAGTTTTTTTCGCTCGTTCTGGCACATTTTGTTGCCATCAGCAGGAGAAGGACAAGCCAAATAAGTTTTCGAAAATAACCCGATGTCTACCGGCGTGTTTGTTAATGTAGCGGTTCGCGTGTGTGAGGAATTTTTTTCGGGCAACACAATTCGTTTGGCATGCGATTTACGTGAATATCGCCGAAATCCGACTGGAAACTTGGCCTCGATCCAACTTTTTCCAATGCGAAAGTGAATGAATTTTTGCCAGCAGGCAACAAAGTGGTCTGAATGAAAAATTGTCCATGTGTATGGCTAGTTTGGCATCGGTTTTTAGTAAAAAAAAGTCAACGAACTGTAATTCGTGGTCTGCGACTGCTTGGCATCTGGCCGGGGGGATTTAATGACTATTTTTGTTGCAGCATCATCATTGACGATTTCGACTCAAGCAAAGACCCCAAAGACCAAAAAACCGTCCAAAACTCTACTAACTCCACGGGAACTACACCTAGGGTTTACACCAGGTCCTATTCGGACGCGTCCATCAAAAAAATTCTTGTAAGTTCTTCAATGAAACTTCCATGGGTAACCAACCTTCCAACTTGGGTAATGAGTGTACGTTTTTTTGCCTTGTAACAGTCTAATTGCTGCAAATTGTCCTCAAATTGTTTAATTTTTGTTATTTTTTTAAGCTCA